AATTCATCTTTCTCATTATTAGTTTCTACTACTCATGAATTAATTTGTTGTAATTATGATTATTGAGGTGGCATCAAAGAAAAAAAAATGCACCGCCAACAAAACGTCTGAAAATTGTAACAACTACGATTGTCAGCTATGACATATTAGATATTAGACATCAGAAATGAGATATTAGATTGAAGACATCACATACAAGGTATTAGATATGAGATATCATATGGTGGATATTCAACGACAGATATCACATGGTGGGTATCCCCCCCGCCCATTCTGGCCCAAAATGGAGCCCCGAACATTACCACCGCGGGGCCGATAAAGAAGATTCCCCCCATTACCGACCGAGGGCTTAGCAGATTCCAGCATTGCCCTCCCCCGCAACCTCTCCCACCCGCCCCCGCCCCGCACCTCCCTCAGATCTCTATGTCCAGAACCGGCCTTGTTTATCTACTGAAGACAATCAACAGTGGCGTAGACAGCCCCGCACTTATTGACGCCTTTGTGACTACCCGAGCATTATTTGGCTCAAAATCGTCGAAAGAAATGGAGATAGGCAGAACAAACTCATCACCAAACTTTTCTTTTTTCTCCTTCCACACATTTGCTTGAATTACGATTTGTATTATAGAAGTCCCACTTTTTTCTAACGATTTTACGTACGTTAATGTTTCGTCGAATATTTTCGCGATTTCAAAAAAAATTTTTAAAACTGCGAATAGAACTAAATTCTAATTTAGCAGGTATTGTTTCATAAATTGTTACCTCTTTTTCAGGAATAAACTTCTTTCTTTCCCCAATCATTTTGCTTTCTGGAGATATGAAAGTGCCTTGTTTTTCAAACATGCTAAAACGAAGCTGCTCAGTATGCATTTCTTCGAGCGAATAATACTGATTCATCAAAAACTCTACGAGCGCAATAGACGATTTGAGGAAAGAAGGAAGTGGATCTGAACTCATGGTCGATTTTTATTCTGAAGTCTTGCAATAAGAATTCGGAAACATGAGAAACATATGTTATTATTTCGTCAATCTTATTTCTCGGAATAGTAATAATATTATATAGTTTCGAGTATAGCTCATTCAATTCACTCCGAATTTTTGTGTCACTCTTGATGAAAATGTAACTCATCATTACTGCGGATATCGTTATGATCAGTTTTTATAGGTTCACCATTACATTCCCCAAACACGGCAATTTTAGAAATGAGCGAATCATTACGTATTATATCATTATTGTACGGCCCTTCCCCAGTTTCTTGTTTTGCATCTAAGGCGATAAGAACGTTATTTTCGTTGGGATTTTGTTGATAATTTTTTCTAGATAATCCATGTTTACTGTATCTGTGATGAGTAAAAGATCGAAAAATGGAATAGCTCCTTCCACACTCATTCTCGTCACACCGAAGGATAGTTTCCAATGAGTGAATATTATTAATATGGCTCAATAATTGCCTAATATCATTGAAACGATGTTTGCAGACATGACAAGAAAACGATTGAGTATGTACCGTGTAAAACAACTTATACTATTAACTATTGTTGAAGAGTGAATTCTGAAAAATACTAAGTAAAACAATTCACGACGATATTCATTTAACCTAATGGAGATTTTACTCTGATCTACTGGCCTTCAATAACTCCCTTAAATTCGCCAATTAATGACTTCAGCTCAGTGGAAGGTTTGTCTTTGATTGTTGTAATATTAAAGTAAGTTTGTTGTAAAAATATCCGGAAGAGTTGAGCGCTTGGAGGATATTCACAATTGAGAGACAAAAAAAATCTCCACCGGCACAATGCAAAAACACGTAGGACTGAAGGAACCTGGTAAACTACGTTCTCCAAAATGATGTAACTGGTCACAATTTCATTCAGTGGACCCACGAGGATAGGAATCGGCTAATTAATCAATGAGTTTCTCAATGCGTGTCGAACTCCAGTATTTAAAATAAGTTCTCAATCGAAAACATTCTGAAATCAATAATATATGATAGAATGGGATAAAGAGGATGGAATTGGAAAAATACTACCAAACGGGATAAATATGTTTTTTTCTTTTTTTGAAGAGGTAATTTTTGTAAATAATAATTTTTGAGCACCATCTTTTTATCTCTTTTTAACGTTTCAAAATGGAAAAACACGCTGATTTCAATTATATAGATATCAACTCACCAAAATATGCACGAGAAAAGCCTCCCTTCTCGCCTGTAAGCTCAATTTAGGTGCTATGTGTGTATGATTGTCAGTATTGGACTTCCTTTTTCGTCCTGGACGAGAGGCAGGAATTAAGTATGGAAGAAGATGAAAAATGATGGCGACTTGATGTCCTTTAAAAAATAAATTCAACGTTTCGGTACACCGCAATTTCCAGTTACAAAAAAATAAATATTTTCTTGATCCCCGACCCGAAAGTGCGGTCTTCCCGGCGCAATTTTGCTCCGGAAACAACCCCTTTTGTGGCGCGCCTTATCCTTATGTTTTCTCTCCAGGCGAGGACTGTACACAAATGTGACAGGTTATCGGTGCTGTGATTTTACAAGTTTGAAAGTTTGGTTGAACGATAATTAGTTTAAAAAAATTCGTTTCCCGGATTTTTCCAAAACCGTGTCGACTGCCTCTGAACAAAGAGACTGACCCCGTGCTAAAATGGATGATTCTTCATCTGATGGATATGCGGACGAGGAGGAAATATTTAGGAGTTTTGATGAAGAAGCCAAAGTTATTGTAAAATCTGAAACCCTACCCAAGAAATCTTTCGACCGATACACATTGGTCTACAATACTTACAAAGAGTGGCGTGAAGAAAAAACAATGCATTGTCCAGCTCCGAAGAAAATAACTTGATCGTTTATTTTGAAGACCTTAAAACCAAACTCAAACCACCAACGTTATGGCGCAGGCTACATCGATATTAGTAATTATTTGAACTTGAAAAGTCTTATAAAAAACAACGCCAAGGGTTACAAACCGAAAAAACCTTTCGACGTGAGGTGGAATCAGATTATGCAATTTATGAACGCTCCGGATGAATATTTGGCCATGAAGGTATTAATTATTTTCATTTACATTCCGCTTTCAAGACCGATATTGTATTTATTATTCTTTGTTTGATTGCATGTTCTTTTCCTGGCAGGTCGTAATGATATTTGGAAGTTGTGGTTGCCTACGTTGCGATGAAATCACCAACCTTACGGTCGAAGATGTGGAAGACTTGGACAATAATCGTTTTCTGGTATTGATTGGAAAAAACAAGAATGATTATGCGGGGCAACTCCTCACTGGCAGTCTCTTCTACGACACTGTTAAAAAGTATATCTCACTGAGACCACCCGAAAAATTCAGCAACAGATTTTTCATTCAGTATAGAGAAGGAAAATGTATTCGCCAAGTGATTGGGAGACATACAATAGGACAAATAACAGAGAAGATTGCTTCTTATCTCCAACTACCAGATGCCAAGAGACATACTGGCTACTGCTCTCGCAGGACCTCAGCGACACTCCTTTCCGATTCTGGTGCAAACATACAAGTGATTAAACAGCTGGGGAGATGGCGTTCTGATATAATTGCATAAGGTTACGTTGAAAACTTTATGCATTGTAACGAAGTGGATTATTTACCCCAATCCACACCGTTTGTAAATTCTCTTAATTAAGCCCTCTGCCTAAGTTTATCCCAAAGTATGGCTGAATCCCAATAAAATAATTAGATAGTTCAAAAAAAAAAGGATAAGACAGGGATTGAGCTATTTGGATTTAATTAACAAACTGATCTTTTCAACTGCTGTACAATAGGTTTGTGATAATTCTACGTCTAGAATTATCACCACTAATCCACTTGAATTTCCCATGGGACTAATTATCCTCCGGTTAGGATTATTTACCAGGTGTGCCGCGAACTACTTATCCGCAACACTTGAATTCCCTGTAACCGAAATATAACTAAAGTACTCACGACACGTGGGTTTTGTACGTACTCAATAATCCGGTTTCCTTTCCTGACTACAGTCCAATACGGTTAGAGAACGTTAGGCACTCTTCGGTGACCCTCCGGAAGATGTTCACTTCACGTAAGTGAACTTAAATTAGCTTAAATTTAATTAGAGTTTAAGTGTCACCACTGTTCGAACTAACAGGGAAGACGGCCTGATCCAGAGTGAGTCAAGATGGCCGCTAAGGGAGACCTGTTCACCTTTTCCATTCCGGTGATTTCACTCTAGTCAATGGGAGAGCTCCGCGTGTCAGGTTGTTCCCTCTCCGGGTCAAGTAGAGGGATCATCAATCAAATATTGACCCACTACGCCCTCTCTGACCTTTCATTAGATTCAGGTCGTTCTGCTCCGGTTCATCCAGTGGTTCTGATTGGTCGGTCCAGTCAGTCCATTGACGATCCACCTCGATGTAAGGCAAGGAAGAATATTGAAGATTTGGACTTACGAAGTCACAATGAGAGAAGCTCAACAACATGCTTGAATCAAAATGAACCCGGCGATAGGGAACTAATGGCTGATGAACAACCAAAGGAACTGAATTTTGAGGAACCACCGGCCATTCTACCTTCGATGTCTGGGAAAATAATAAGCAATCAAGTTTATAATAATCAGCTTGAAACGAGTTCAGCCCTGAAAAGGCATTATTCAAGATTTGAGGACTGTACTTTCAACCATTGTACTTTTAATATTTATCGAGGTGATTGTGATAAGGAGAATAATCCGCATAATAAATGATAAAATCGTACATATTTATAAATAGTCATTTTCTGGATTTCACTTTTTCCGCAGCAATTATATGAAATTTGTAACGAGCATCGGGGATGCCCGTTAGGATCCCCAAGAAAATTCAGAAATCGGGAGAGAGAGTGAGACAATTGGGACGTAGTTTAGGTTCAGGAAAATTAGGATTTCCCCCCCTTCGGGGTGGTTTAGGGATTTTAGGGTTAAGGTTAGGGCAAGCTCAAGGTTAATTTAGTTCCGGCCCAAAAAGCCGGCGCTCCAAAGGAAAGGGTTCCTGAGGGTTAGTTAGTACGGGTGGAAGGCCGTACGGGGAACACGAAAAATACCCCTACGGATCGCCAAGGGCTGTTACGGGTGGAAGGCCGTACGGGGAACACGAAAAATACCCCTACGGATCGCCAAGGGCTGTTACGGGTGGAAGGCCGTCTGGGATAGAATTAATCATCGTCCCGACGGAGTGCCAACAATTTTAAAATTCAGTGTCGGTGGAAGGCCGCACGGGGTAAATCCAGCCCTTACCTCGGCGGAGTGCCAATAAATAAATAAAATTACGGGTTACTGAAATAATTTAATACGTTTAAGGTTAGTGATTTAGGTCTTCTAACCCCAGGAATCCAGGAGGAACAACCGAGAGAAAAATACCGCGGAAAGAAGAATTTCTGGTAATGAGAATTAATTCAAATTTGAATTAATTCTCCCGCGAAGGGCTTGACCCAGAATAAGGTAGAGGGATCCACCAATCGACACCCGATCGACTGGTAGGCGTGATTAGGGGGTCAGCGCAACGCGACACTGACCTCCGAAAAACAGTTACGCATTAACTGCGGTAACATCCACACGTGAGTGAACAGGAGTGAGTAGTGAGACGTGATAGTGCGTCATCCCGAGAACACCAGGACAATTAGCTGCCACTAGGATGGTCCTGAAACGAAAGAGAAGGGCAGCAAGAAAATCCACAGTGAGTTTTTACGGCCTTAATTAAAGATTTTTCCCCTTTTTGGCGGCTCTCCAATAAGTTATTGGTGGTCAGAGATTTTTCCGAGCCATGGAAATGGCGTCGGTTGTGTCCCCCAAGTTTTGGGTGGTTTTGGAGAGGTCTGTGGACGGATTTTTCCGAATAATTTCGGCCTGTATTATCCCGCAGTGCGGTTGGGAGGTCATTGATGTAAGTTATGGGGATTTTGAGGGTGTAGCCTTCGCTACATTACCTACCCGCGGTAGTGTTTCTATATTACCTGCGGGGCCTAGGTCGTACTCCCGTACGGTGGCAGTGCGAATACCAGAGTGGGGAGCACTTGGGACTACGTCACACGACGCTTCTCCCACTCTGCACTGGCAGCTATATAAACGCCTACGCGAGTTCTCTCGACCAGTTCGTGCTCGGTCTTGCCTTGAGCGCAGAACTACCTGGCTAGCTATCTAGTTCCTTTAGCCTTACCTCCTAGCAATCCTATGCACTCTGTACTACCTGGACTTTCTCTCCTTTCTCAGGATTGAGAAGTGGCCATCCCACGGTACAAGACCGTGCACTCACCGCTATCGGTCCCCTTCCTCCTATACCCGGACGAAGGGACGGTTGCTCTCTGTTTGTTTCTCCCCTTTATAGGGTTGAGAAGTTAGATCTCTAAATCGTTCTCTGCGCTTTGGACGCAAGTCATAGACGTGTCTCTCTGAGACATAATTTGTAGTGTTGGCTCTCTCGACTGACTCTACCCAGTCAGTACGCCACATATTGGTGACCCCGACGTGATTTTTTTTACGTCCACCAGTGCAGTTTGGTCTGTTCTCTGTTGAGTTCTCTCATCATCATGCCTATCACTGATGATACGGGGAT